TGGACGCTGGCTCCCAAACCCTGAGGTGAAGTTTAACTACACTGAGACCCCACCGTCCTGAGGATTCGACCGGACTGGAGCATTGCCAGGTAATGTGCTATGTTTGTTTGTCTCAACTTTGTGCGTCCAACTCATTTGCTGCGTGTCTTTTTTGTCCATTGACCATTTGAATAAATAACACATTTTGGTCAGGGATAGATATTGAACTGTGTTATACATCCAAATTAAACGGGTAGTATGCAGGCAAGCCGTCTCAGTATAGCCAAAGGAACTCTGTCGAGATTTCCTATTATTCCCACTTTATTTACATGGGCTTAATTCTCTATAAATAATCACAATTTGACACGCAGAACCATTTGACATGATTGTATTGATTACAAATCGGGGGGGAGGAAAGTAGTCCGTTTTCTGCTTAGTCACAGTTTGAACTGCAGCGACGGTTCTTCCATTTATTTATAGGATACACAAATGACGTAGAGTTTCTACTTGATGTCAAGTATTCCATTTACTTTTCCATTAACCAGTCTTTAACATTGCTAGAAGCCCATACCGTCTTCGAGTTTCAGTGTTTTCGCTACCAATTTACATAAACACCCGTGTTCCCCTTCATGTCTTGGAGGGGCGCTGTGACCCCCCTGAAAATTCAAGGTGTTAACACACGGCCAGATATAGACGCATTTTATTTAAAGCTGGCAGACACTGGGTCTTCTATTCCCACTCAAGTATATATATATGCACCCATGGCAACGACAACATACTGTGAGCAGGTTGATCGCAAGGCTCCACTTTTCACCTTGACACATGCTGCTCTTATTACCTGTGACGCTAACCTACACGCTTTTCACTTTGGCATTGTGGCATTTTCATTTACGATTTGACCATCAAGACACGCTAGTGATGTCCGCTTTATCAATACCAGAGTAATATAGGCTCCTCTGTCTGCTACATTAGGCAATTTTCTACCAGCAAACACAGCAATGTCATCACGAAGTGGCCACCCACCCCCACCGCACGCCCCCCCCCCAAGACTACCCTTATAAAGGGTTTACAAATAGTTTGTAATTAATTTATGAATTAGGTTGTGAACACTTTATAAATCATTAGTAAGCTTTTATAAGACATGAGATAAACAGGGCAACTGTGACCGGTCGCTTGCCAAATAGTGAGCCCACATTTATCTGTACTGCTAAGCCTTATATTGGCTACTTAGCTTAACTCTTCTTCTCGCCAGCATCCTTGGTATCTGTTGCTCACTGAGTTGATTCTCGCTAAGTAGCCAATATAAGGCTTAGTCATCTTGCCAAATAGTGATATGTTAGAACTGGTTTATAAATGGTTCTTATTGATTAATAAAGTGTTACAACCTCATTCATAACCTAATTATAAACCCTTTATGAATCCTTTATAAGGGTAGTCTTATTGTAAAGTGGTACCGTGTTTACTTCCGGTCAGTCTTCTTCTTCGGATTTCTTTGATGTCTTTTATCCAGCTCTGTTTTCTTGTTCTTTCATTTACTTGGTGCAGTTCACCCATCATGAATCTAAGGTGTCATGTTCTCCCCAAATATGAAAAAAAGAATACTGAAAAACTATTCCATGGTGCTTTTATGATGGAGGAACACAGATGTGATTTCTTTCCATGGCTGATGTTAAATTGAGCAAGCTTCACTTCGCGGATTGGTATATAATAATGCCGTAACATAATGGCCGTTAACATCAATCCAAGCTGCTCTCAATAGTTCCTCAAAGAGCTCAATAACTGCACCAAAACAATCAAAATTCTTGTGTCCAAGTGGAAAGAGGTAGAATGTGTTTTTTGCGCAAAACTGTAGGGTGAAGTCTCCCTTTAAATGTTAAACTAGAGTTTGGTTTGGATTGACGTAGATTGACAGCTCCTCTGGGGATTTTTCATCCAACTCAAGCAAGATATTTTTAGTTGAAAAATGATCAGTGGTGTAGTCTGATTGTCTGATTTGAGAAATGGCCGTGTCGGCCTGTCAGAATATACAGCCCATTGATTGTTTGAATTAGATTGTTGATTGAAGAGGCAGTTAATACTGATCAGCTGATGAAACATGAAACGGTTCTCTTAATGCACCCCTCACTCAAACTCAGATTTGCATATCCTGTAATGCAGTACTGCCAGTGGGAGGGCAGACACAGGAACACATTGGTCTTTATGATGGAGACTTCGGTACCAAACCTTTTCCTCTGGGCTTTTCTCTGGCTTCATATATCCTGCGTTACGGAGGTCGAGTGATATTAATATTTCTTGGACTAATCAAGGATTTTTTTCTTTCTTTTAAGCCGAGCAGAGACCTCACCCTGCAGTCTTCTAGCACTTGTAGTTCTTACATTTCCAAAGATGAGACCAGTGTCCCTCCCCAGGACATCTGTGAAGGATAGCTTTCCACCTCTCTAGGCTTCCATCGCATAAGATCTGAAATGAGTTCATGTCTAGCCCGCCATTGAATTTCATATCTGCTGTAACGTTGGGTGATTCTTCCATGATCCACTTTGTACCATGCGAAGGAGGTTGTTTTAGCACCCATTGAGACTATTTATTTGTTGGTTCTCTTTTAATTGAAGTCCTGTTGGGATTGGGTTCATATCTCTAAGTGTATATCTAAGAGCAACATGTTGGCGGGAGACAAAGGTAAAGATCTTTCTGCTTAATTTTCATGTCTATTACAAAACACCTCCTGTGATTCGACATTGCCAGATCACTGAGTTTACAGTGTTGGGTATATGTTACCCACCTGTTCCAATAACCCTATTTGATCTACCATATGTCAAAACACCTGCTGTATGCTTTCCGTTCTATATTTTCTATGTTTACACTTATTTCATTAACTATCTCTCTCAATGTATTCAAGGTGCTGATACCGGCAGCACATGTTTGTCCTTTTCCCCTCCTGCCCCTCCTTTCTTCCCTTGTTCTGTGTTGCTTTCCTCCCTGTGGTGACTCATCAGTAGATGGTGGCAGATAGATGCAGAGCTTGTTAGAGAAGAGTGTGGATGAATCCTGCCCTGCTCCCTTTGCCCAGTAGGACTGACCGAGAAGCAGCTGAGACCCAATCACTGCAACACACCCCCCTGTGTGTGTGTGTGTGTGTGTGTGTGTGTGTGTGTGTGTGTGTGTGTGTGTGTGTGTGTGTGTGTGTGTGCGTGCGTGTCACTGTGTCACTCAAAACTGAGGTTCTACTTCAGGAAGCTCACTCAGGGGTGATGATCCCAAATAGAAAACGACACATGCACGCACACACACATATCCACACACCCCACTGATTCCCAGAGTCCCTGATGTTTGGCCCTAGATCCCTCCTCCATCTGGCTGAGAAGACCAAACAACACACACCTCACCAACGGCGACAAAGCTGTGTGTGTTGCTTCCAGCTAGTGGAGGCTTTAATTTAGCTGGTGCGTTTCAGCCCGTGCCCTCCCCCGTCACAGAGGCACGCGCTGGCTCAGGTAGAAAGTAAAACGAGGCAGTGCGATGTGAGATCATATCGGTTCATATCGGCCTCATTGTCTGCCTTTGTGCTAATACATGCACGCCTGAAGAGCATTACCATTCTGCTTGGTTGATGATAGCAAGAGAGGATGAAAGACAGTGAGAAGAGAAGACACCGAGGGGAGGGAGATAGAGTGCATTATCAGTGTGCTTGGCTGATGATATAACATTTAGGGAGAAGACAGAGCACTTCAAAAGTAAATGAATGACTGCTCATCTGGGACGCCGGGGAAAGATATTTGGGCAGCGGCAGAGGTTAGAGAAGCAATTTTGGACATAATATTCAAATCTCCTCCCAAACCAGATAGATAAATGGAGCTTAGAATAGGGTTTGCCACTCCTTCTGCCAAGGTGCCTTTAAGCTAGGCAATGCCTATACTCCAATGCTGCTGCTTAATGGTAGCCATTAGAAAACGATTTCACTAATACTGGCCAGGTCTAACTACCGGTGTTCAGAAAGATTTGACAAAATCCTGAAAAAATCCATGTTTCCTCATAAACTACAGGCTTGGGGAAGCTTAATAACTAATATTAATATAGGTCATTGCAACCTATTTTTTTTTTGGAGGTCAGTCTATAAACTAATGTAGCTGGAAAGCTAACGACTGACATGTAGAAAGCCAGGAAGATGCTACGCTAGTCAGTCACAGTAGTTTTCACTGCAGCACAATAAGTATGGCCAGTGTTGGGATGTAATAAAGTACATGCACTTAAGTATTGTGCTAAAATATAATGTTGAGTGACTTTTACTTTTAATATTTTCAGTCTATGGTGCTTTATACTTATTTTCCACAACATTTTGGAAGCCAATATTTTACTTTTTCATTTACATGACAGCTTTAGCTACACATATTAAATAAACTAATACATGAACATTGATAAACTCTGATGAACACATTGCCATATTTATAAGTATTACCCAGTGATTTAATAGATATGATTCTGAAATAGGTTATTACTATTAACAACTACTTTTACTTTTATATATTTTTTTATGTTGATGTCTATCATTTTGTACTTTTACTTAAGTGAGATTTAAATTCAGGACTTTATAGTATTTTAACATGTTGGTGTTACTTCTTCCATCGCTAGGTGTCATCTGTTATTTAGAACAGCCAAATCATCCCCATTATCATAAAAAGCATATCTGGCGTCTTGTAGGATTTTCAGAAGACTTTAGCCCCAACGTCCATTAAATAATGACATGAATTCTGTTGTCGGAGGTCAAGTTCATAATATATGTTTTTATACACTAAATATGACAAGTCCACTAACATGTCTGAATTGATGAAGTGATGACATGTCAATCAGATGTGGAGGGAATTTGGCAAGGCAGTACATTTGTTTTAATTTAATTTCAATGTCTAGCTAATCTTCTGGTTTTCAGTGTTGGTTGATTAACTTACTGTACAGGGAGCTGTTGACATTTATTTAAAAAAAAACCTATTATAGGATTTTTGACAGACAGTGATAGAGGATTGGACCGAAGAGAGGGTCAGAAAAAAAGGGACACAACACAAAGGGAGGACAGAGTTGGGGTGCAGTCAGAGAGAAACGCTAACAACAGTGGCTAGAT